CAGTGGAATCGTCTTAAAATATTAATTGATTTGATTACCTTTAATTGGCATCAATCACAAGGTTTTGTAACACTATGGTTGAATCATCAGGTTTCTGTGTTCAGTCAGTTTTAGCAATTTAAAAAGTTAAAATTTGGATATTATAATTTAATTTCAATTATAATAAAGTTTTAAATCTTGTTTGTATGTATTTAAATTTTGATGAATAATAATAAATTTTTAATTGTTAAAACTGATTCATTACAGAACACCTAATGATGTGTCCATATTGTGGGTTAAAGCTTTTAGTTATAGATGCCAATAAAATAATCTAATTGATTTGTCAATATAAGAGGGCATCTCTGCACATCAAAATATACCATACATAGACAATTTTTGGTTTCTCGTTTGTTTCAGAGCATCTTTGTGCCATTTGTTGTGGTGGAGGCATCACATTTGCTGGTGCTTGAGCTCTCAAAAAGTGAGAGCGCAGAATCTACGGGTATAATTGGTGCTGTAATGCTGCTGGGTGGAATCTCTCCAGAGCGTGTACATAGATTCATGAAGATTTTTAATTTAGCTTCCAGAATTGGTGGTGATTTCTCTGTGTATTTTGTCACCTTTGTTTTCTTCCATTGTGCAATTGAAGAATTAAGTTAATCTATTTGTGTATTTCTCAAAGAATATTAACATGTTTTTAATAAAAATATGTGGATATGCTTTAAAAGTTAAGTTGCGTTGAAATAAACACAAATTTGTGTACATATCAAATATTTATTCATTCCGTTCAAAGAGTTAAACCTATAAAATACCAGATCAACTTAGATGAACAAGATGAGTTGTGGGGCTGATGTCTCACTTTTTGAAAGTGGTGTCGCACAGCATTACAATATATTCCATTAATTCATATACAAAAATCCAAAGTTCTACAAATATACCACTGATAATTAAAGGCAATGCTGCAAGGAAAGAAAGAATAAAGTTAGAAATTGGGTAAGAAAAATGGATTTTTTTGTTTCTCTACTGTGGAACTTACCAACTTAGATTTATTTAAATTCCTGCCATGAACATTCTGATCAGACATGAAAAGTAAAAAATTGTTCAATAAATTTTATTCTAAAAGTAAACACACTGGAATATAAAAGCTGTCAATATAATCTAAAGTTACTGTATATTTTACAAACAAAAAAACAAACTAGGTTACAATGGTCTCATCAGGAAGAGCATAAGTGTCAATATAAAAAGACAGACTCCAATAGCTACAGACTGAACCATCTTACTTTTGCGAGTAAAAGAATCTTCAGCAGGTGTGGGATGTTCTACTCTGTGATACTCTTCCTTTTTGGTGACTTTCGAGTTTTCTTCAGAACGTTGCTTGGATTTGGGAAGACGTTCCGTTTTTACATCAGTCTCTACTACAGGAACAAGTTCTTGCTTGGCAGGAACATCACTCCGATTTTGTTTCTGCCCAGTGTCCCAGAACTGAGGTGGCCTTGTCGTAACTTCAGAGACGGTCTGCTCATTAGAACCATTCTGTTCATAAGGCACCTCTGAACTGGGACACGCAAACCCTCACTTGGACTTTTTAGACCTCGCTTCACCTTTAATTGGACTTTGCCGTGGCTCTATCAAAACTTCGTTTCGAACAACGTCAATATTTCCCAAGCGAATCATCTTTTCTTCCCACTCCTGCAATTCACGTCGGTACACTTCCATCTGTTTATTGAAGTTATTTGTGTAGTTTGCTTTTACTTTCTCATCTTCTTGTTCCCATTGTTTGGCTACACGTACTTGAAAATCCTGAAGTCAGTGAGAAAAATTAACATGATAAATCACCACTAATACCATTAGAATTGCATTTAAATACAAATTAAGACATACCCGATATGACTCAGTTTCCTTTCTAGAGTTATCACGTAAATAAATCATATAGGCTGTGAGGGGACGTTTTGGTTTTCCTAAATCTTTCATTTTCTGAAACATGTAATTTCACAAACTATTACTTCAGCATCAGCAATATGCAAATGCAAGGCACAAATTCTCAACCGAATGGAAGAAAATACCCTTCGCAACTTTCTCCTTTCTTTGGCTTCTTCAGCATCATCCTGAGCCTTAGTAATTTGCTCTTTTTGTTCTTCGGTAAGGGAGTTTTCATAATCTCCCATCTGTTTCCTGTAAACATGAAATTCCTTTCTATATTCTTCCTCCAATTGTTGCTTCAGGGATGGTTCTGCTTTAGCCCAGTGTTCCCCTCCAAGTTTAGCTATCTCTGAAAATAATGCAAAATAAAATACGATGTAAATACGACGTAAATATGATCCTGGGCAATACGGCGAAACCAAATTAATTTTACACGGTAAGTATGACTAACCTGGCACCTTCGCTTCTGGATGTTTTTGAGCAATCAAAGGTCGCACTTTCGCCAAAAATCTCATGTAAGGGGTAAGTGGTCGCTTAGGTTTCGACGGAAAACCTAATTTCTCCTCAATTGACTGTTTTTGTTTCGCTCCCGCTACCGGTGGAGATGCAATTAACGCTCTGAAAATCCATAAAACAAGTTAACTTAAGTTTCAAAACAAACCGTCCAACTTAAAAAAGTCAGATATCACAAAAAAACTACCTTGGTTGTAGAAAGTTACGAGATACAATCGTTTTGCATATTCGCAACATTTTTTACTGATAACCTCAACAGAAATGCCAAAATCTTCACGGAGCTATTTCGGTTCTTCTTTCGGCATAGCGTTCTTTGGTGGTATATCGTCGAGACTGCTGCAAACTCGCGCTGTTTACATAGAGTACCACATCACGAACGCTAACATAAATGTTATTACGTCAATAAATATTTTTTTTACTAAACATTCATGTAAAATAGATTAGTCTCGCCTATAATCCGTGAAAATGTTTAATTATATCAGCAGAAATATACGCATTCAGTATTTCAGAAACAAGTGTTGGTGGATACATTCGAGTGAATAAGTTCGCCACATTGCAAAATATAGACTCCATGCCTGCTATGTCGTGGGAGGTCACTTCACTGGGTGACATTATAGGCGAGGGCTGGCGAAAAGTGCATGTAGGGTTTGAAGTGAGGTTATATTCGTAGATTCATAGACCTTGTCATATTGTAAAGAACTGTACATCGTAATTTTTAGGCCAATAAATTATCGGTCTGTTGCGCATTATTGTGCAGTTACAAGACCAAGATGTATCTTATAGAGTCATAATAATTTGTACCGTTTACTTTTCAGATCATGTCGAAAGCTGTCGGCAGGCTGAAAAGCCTTAAAAAGACTGTGGAAAAAGCTAAATTATCTAACAAAATACGAGCGACGATACCTGCGGGAATGGCAGCACCTGGGCCACCTCTTGGACCTGTTTTAGGGCAGGTTTGTTTCACAGTATAGGTACAAGTGTTTGCCTTGATTAAATATTTCTTCTTACATATTATTTTTTCGTTTAGCATGGAATTAATATAGCAGCATTTTGCAAAGATTTCAATGAAAGGACCAAGGATATGATAGAAGGAGTGCCCCTGCCTTGTCGAATCTCGGTAAATCCTGATCGCAGTTATGAAATAATAATGTACAAACCTCCTACCACTTTCTTTTTAAAACAAGCTGCAGGAATCCAGCGTGGGGCAATGTATCCAGGTATAAAATTTACATTTAAAAAGTTGATGATACCCCTATAGATATTCCATCTTGCAAAATCTTGTGTTGTCACAGTTCCCAATTCCTCCTGCCATCAAATCCTGTTTTTCTTCAAAATTCCAACAGTAAAATTATTGAAAAATTCGCTCTATGGGAAGAATTAAACCTTTGAATGCTGTAGACAAGTTGGTAAGCAAAAAGTTTCCGTGCATGGTAGCCTCTGGAGGCACTATTACGCTCAGTCATTTCATCTCTGAGAGCCTCTGGATGCGAATGTATGCGAAACTGCAATGTTCCAAGAGTCTTTGAACAAGATTGTTCATGCAGATGTACTTTCGGCTGTCAGTAGGACTTGCTGATAACCGACATGTCGTGTGTGGTACTTGTGTGTGAGCAAGCTCAGTTCACAATGAGGCTTGCAGCGAGAAGTGTGACACAAGAGGCTTCACTCACAGTTGGCTGGCTCATAGCAGTCAAATGGTTAATATTCTAATTGGAAAATTTTTATTTTGGCATACACATTCAGAAGAGAGATGGAGCATTGAAGTATTCACAATACCTAGTAATCTTAATTTATGAAATAAAAAGTATGATTTCTGTTTATTTTTACAATGATATCAATTTACACCTGTATTGAAATTGGGATATCCAGTAGGTTTCATTGTCATCATAAATTGCAAATTCCATTATGTTGAGAAAACCACAACCAATTTTTATATATTTTCTTGAGAAAAAACAAAAAACAACAACAGTAAAAACATTTTGCGACATAAAGGGAAAACTATTATTTGTTTTCCTTTTTCTTGAGCTTCTGAGCCCCTGCCTCACTATTTTACTATACATAGTTGATTGATGAATAAAAGTACCAACAAAGTGAGGTTAGCAACATTTAAAAACAAGTTTGCTTCCTAGTTGTAGCAAACATATTTGCATTGGTAAACAGACTGTTTTGATTTTACAATTATGCTAACAAAATAGCAGTTAATACTCCCTGTTTTACTCTTTCTACAGCTCGCAAAAGGTTTCCTTTCCAGTTCATTTTCAATTTTTCAGCCACATATTGCATGCTGGATGAAAATTACAATTTCACCATAGATTTGTGGTAATTATTTTCAAATACTTTGTGTATTTATCTGTGTACTTAAAAGTCAATAACAGTTAAAATACTTCTTGCAAAATAATTTCAAACAACCCCACCTAGATCTGTGCCCAAGTGAACGTTGATGTCACGTCCTCTTTCCCAGTTCCTCATTCTAGGATTCATTTGTACTTGGATCTCTCATCACAATCCATCTTGTATGGGCTTAGACGGCTGAAGGCATCAACTGAGCTCACTGCAGTGCCTCTTCTTCTGACTGAGAGGTCCTAGGGTTTGAGTCTGCAAGGGTGGCTGGTTTTTTGATGCTAGCTAGAGAGCTAGGTTGAATTGAACTGCTGTCTGGAAGAGAATAGCAGCTGGCGGCTCTGGTCAGTTGTTTACTGAAATTTCTTCAATCAACATCCGGCAAATACAAGAGCAGTTTCCTAACAATAGAGCCACGGACCGTGCGGGATCTCTCCCCCTTCCTTGTCACCTCCTCACCTCTTACTTACACATACACACGCACGCACACGCACTTCCATGCACTTCACTACCATCGTTGTAGTGAGAGCAGTTGGGAGCTTCGAGCTTTTGCTGCCCTAGGCGGTGCCCTGCTGGTGGGAAATACCTGGATGAGTAAAATCCCCACAAGCTGACGTAGATTGGTGCCAAATCTCATCAGCCAGTGAGGGGAATAAAAATATGTACTACACTTGTGGGACTAATGATCTTAGCAGTTGATGCAGCCAGAATCACTAATCAATCAATCAGTAATGCATCAATTGGGCCACTCATGTGAGAAGTTGTGAATACGGAATAATTCTAGCCTGAAAATGTTTTCTCTATACTGCAATATTTAATGTTTTGTATATAATATTTTAACAAATGCACACTCTTGGTTTATTAATTTATACATTTTTATTTACTACTTTGCTCTTGTAATCGTGCTGTACCAGGGTTTCATGAAGAGAAATAGGAATGGGTGGAAAACGTGAAATAGAACATAGAAATGGGCAGAATATAGATCTGTTATGTAAATACTGGGCTCAGTACTGAGATAAGTCAGATAAACTTCCATTTTCTTTTTCCTTGTTCTGTTTTTTCTCGTCCTGCCTACATATCTCTCTCTCTTTCTCTCCCTCTCCTCATCTCTCTCTCTCTCTCCTCTCGTATTGTATTTGGGCTCATTTGGTTTAGTGTTATGGTATGTTGAATTTGACTGTGTCTATGATCTACTGACCACCTGTTGTTTCAGAGCAATACCATATTTATTAATTTCTTTTAATCACATTGTCAGTGAGATTGCAGACTTTGTGATTTTAAGTGATTGTAACACCCCTCCCTGCTATCTCAGTCCATGCAAAATGTCCCGTCAGCTCTGCCTGTGCTACCTTTTCCATTGACATTTCCGTTACTTCAGTGGTAGTTGTGTGGCATTGTGGATTTTGTCCCTAAAAGTTCCGTTTATTAGTTTAGAAAATGAAGTGTAACGAATAATTTTCCTTCTATTACCCATTTGATACCTCATACAAATTGTTAGGATTTAATTGTAAAAGCAATTTCGAATTTGAAATATGTTTCTTTTTTATATAGGTCGTGAAATGTCAGGTAAAATAACTCTGAAGCATCTCTATGAAATTGCAAAGATCAAGTCAGAAGATCCGACTATGGAGTTGCTTACTCTGGAGCAAATATGCCAAATGATGGTGGGAACTGCTCGCACTTGTGGCATTGAAATTGTGCGAGACCTAGATCCTAAGGAATATGCGCAGTTTCTTGAGGACCGCAAGCAGATTGTGGCTGAACAAAAGAAAGAATTGGAGGAGAAGAAAGAAGCTAAAATGTTGAGAACAGGATAGACAACTAGGGTAACAAGAAATGTACTTTAAATAGTTGAAACTTTGCATAGTGTAGTGTGTTGACAAACTTGTGGAAACCTATGGATGTAGTTAATATTTAGAGTCAGAAGTTCTGTAGACCTGTGCTCAAAAATGTTGTTAGTGAATTATAGCCAGTTAAGTGTTATATTTTCTTCTAAATCAAGAGATTAAGTGGCCTTTTTATTTTATAAAAGAATAGCAAATTATGAGAAACACCCTTTCAGGTAGATTTCACTGAAAGGAAGATTGTTTTGTGTTACTTTCGGTAATTTCTAATCTAATTTTTTTGGCACAATTTTTGCATTATATCAGGGTTGCTGACTTGGTTTTTTAAATAGAAACTTGTGATTTTGACCTGTTAAATAGGGAAAATATGTCCTCTTGTGCACCAGGAATTTAATTTATGAAGTGGGAAAATGAAGGGCTTGTAAGGTGTAGATTCTTGTTTTGTTCAGGCCTGTATTAAATATTCTCTGATTTTGTTGAGTGTATGAATCATATTTTGTCTCAAGCTGTTCAGGAAATATCAAACCATATGAGAGGATATTTGGAGAAATTCATCGTAAATTCTCAAATTTGTTGTTATTTTTGTATTGAATTGTTTGTATATTACAGTGATATTTACAATATTTGCATTATTTACAATTATATTTGTACAGTCTCATGTCTTCTCATTACAATACATTTCTCAGAGTTTTGATGTATATTAAAATAATGTACAAAAGATAGATTTTGCAAGTAGTTTTGGGAGAACTCTAAAAAATTCTGTAGGAATGTCTTCCTAGTGCAAAATTATTGGTGCTCAATTGTTCACTTATAGTCCAGCTGAAGAATTGTTCAGGAAGCATACTTTCTTGCATTGAAATAACTTAATAAGTGGTAGATTTTACCTGATGCAAGCAAAATATACCAAATTTAAAAAAGTTTCAATGTAAAATAAGTGTTGTTAAACAAACATTTTCTTGTCAACAAGGAAGTGTTGATGGGCTGTGAAGAAGACTTTTTGTCTGAAATGTCATGGTCATTTGATGCTAGTATTTCTTTTCAATTTTTATTCAACCTTATATCTGTTTTGACGATGGGAGACTTTGGACTTGGATTTGCAAATTTCTTCAATTGAAATATTCAGAATATTATTTTGGTCTTTAATTGTTATGACAATCCCAGTTTCTTCATTGATGCTTGGATCCAACCTGTGTAATGGGAAATTCTTGTGTAGACACCTGGTCGATTTTTCTTTGCACAGCCGTCGCCCCAGGATACAACTCCAGCAAGCACGAACCTCCCTGAAAAGAATAAGAGAAATGTCAAAATAGGAAAAATATATCTTTTTTCAAATACTATTTATTTCAGTATTTTTAAGAAAGTGCTCTTACTGTGAAATTGGTATTTGTTCAAGAAAAAGAAACTATCCTTATTAGTGGTGATTAACAAATGAACACATTGTGAAAGTACTACAGTTTCACAAATAATTCATTTATGTAATCAATAGTTAATTGAAAGTGGGTTAACTCAAAAAACACCCAAATTATAATGTGTTGGAATAGGAAGAATCATTTGTAAAGAATTGAATTGCATTTTGCATTTTCGTGTATATGTATACCATTTCTTAAATCATCTCAAAAGTTCTGTTTTGATAAAGTTCTTCTCTTTTCTTGATGCAGTGTTTACAAGCATTCAGGGCATTTGGACAAGAATAAAATAAGAAAATTATATGGCATGAGGAGACAAAAGGAAAAATTAATGGAATGCCAAATAATAAAATTGTTATTTACCTAATCAATCCTGTATTTGAATAATTGAAATGAATTCTAATCATTCTACATGTTTTATTATTTTTTTTAAAGCAATTTAGTACACTGACTAGAACTATGCAATTATAAGCAGAGTCTGGCTTATGAATGTTGGGAGCTTTGTAGATACGCAATAGTTTCTGGGTGTGTGAAGTTTGGGTGCAAGATGAGTAAATCAAGTTATCTAGAAATTTGGATAAATCCAGATACCTATAGCTCTCCAGGTTACATTGTAAATTTTCCTCAAAAAGTATTGAAATGAAAGTCATGAAATCAATTCAATGTTGCCTTGTTGGTTTATTCTTGTCAATTATGCTGCCAAAAATGTATGTTATTTGTAGGGAGCGGATTTATATGATTTTGCATATTTTGTGTCCGTTGCTGCGTGTTATTATTTTAATCTCTTTAGTGTTGGTCAGCTTTTCTGAATTGCCTCACCCTCTTCCCAGCTGTTACCTGTCAGAACCAAAACGATTTTTTGCTCACATTTTCTCAATTTTTCAGTCTCATAATAATAATGATTGAAATATATCTTGAAGATATTGCAGGGGAATGAAACATAGTTCTTGTAGATGTAAATTTTCTTTGCAAAATTTGAATCCGTTGTTGCAAAAATGTTGTAGTGTTTTTGAAAATAAAGTATTTTGAGTTTAATTTCACTGAAAACATTTGAGGTTGGAGCAACTTCATAAGAAAAAATTTGGAGCACTTCTACTCATACATTCAAAAATGTATAATAAATGCCGGTAATGTGAAGATTAATGACGTGAGTGATCTGTAAAAAATGTACTTATGGGTAATTTTGGAAAAAGCTAAAAAATGAATTTAAATGGCATTTATGAGGTTCCTAGTGCATATAGGAATTAATATTCGTACTAGAAGTTTCAAGAAGAATTGGAACCCTGTTTGAGAAAATCTTGTTTTTAAAATCGCCTTTATTTCACTCAAAATTACGGAAAATTATTCATATTTTGAAAAATGTATACATAGTCATTTGAAGAGCAGAGCAAAAATTTCTATTTTCGATACTACCATTGTAGGAAAATACCGAAATTTTTTAAAATTTTTGTAATTTTCGAAAATTCAGATATAACGAAACAGATATGCGTCTTATGAAGTAGGCTTCCGCGACCAGTCATGTGGGTGATCTGGGCTGTCCGGGTGACGTGCCATACCAGCCCTGAGGAAGACCACGACAGGATGGTCGAAACGTCGGCAACTCAGCCTTCGACGCTCGTCACCCGGACAGCCCAGATCACCCAGATACGCGTCTTTGACTGTATCTGAGGGCAGTGTTTAATAAAAAGAAAATTGGAATCATTTTTGGGTAAAAATGAAATTGTCCTTGAGGCATCATGTAAAGTAACACCAAAAATTAAAACGTCGGTTTTAATTTGAAGGAGCCGCGACCTCAGTCAGGTTAATTGAGGTATATCAATTTTGGTGAAAATCCTGCGACGGGCTTAGAAGCTAGCGTTACATGAATAGACATTTTGCCGTTAACCAATTTTTCAGTATCAACGACCCACCAAACGTAAATTCTGACTACAACGCATTAAGTACTACTATTAGTATAATTCTACGTATGTGTAGTAAATTACTTTACTACACGTACGTAGAATTATACACTTTGTCGGAATCGGGGATCTACAATGTGGATTTTTCTGCTGAAATATCGCCGTTCTTTGCCGCAGCATTACATAACTTCCCCCTAGTTACGGTAACGGTACCAAAAGCTGACAGTTTAAGAGAAACAAATTTTTTCTGACTGCTGTAGTTCGAGGCTGCTTTACTTAATTGAAGTTCAGTGGACTCTATTGATTGATAGACTTATTAATAGGCAGGTGGAGCAGTCTTCGAATCGCTTTGATAGCATGCAGGTTTTCAGGATGTGTCTTCGGTTTCAGAGAAACAAAGTATTGCACAAATAACAGTTCAGTCCAGTTAACACTTTACACGGCTATGTTTGTCACGGAACAAACGATTACGTGAAGCTGGTGCCTCGTTCTAATCTGAGGCAGCATGCACAGTGCCGTGATCAACTACAACCGAAACAAATTAATAGTTGAGTGTGCAAGTAGTTGTTGCTCATTTCGAGACTTTCAAACTTGGAAGACTATGACTTACGCGCGAATTTACCTGCAAAGGACAACCTGCAGTGTTACCTGCAAATCATGTCTTATATGGAGTTCTGAAGGCACGAATCACATACGTGTGGTTCGCATTGACCACTGTGTCCACTGCCGAACTAATTTCTGTAGGCGGCGGTTGCGTCGCCAAAATTCTTAGCGCATCATAGGATGCAGAGTGGGGAACCTATCCCCGATTAGCGTTTGAACCGATTCTAGAACACGGGATTCCTTAGCTTCTGTTAAGAACGGTGGAGAGATAGGACAGACAGAAATTCCTTGAGAAGCGTTGTCGCACGCCGGTGCAGTTAGTTATCAGGCTGGCGAGGGCGTCCACGCGGCCGCGCATCCTGTAACGTTTTGTGCAAGCAACTGGTTCTGTCTCGCCAAGCATATGAAATAAAATGTCATTTTCTGTTTTGCTGTGTGGGCCCGAACAGTAGTAAAACCGTAAAACCTATTTGTCAATCATGTCACCTTTCGTCAATAATTATCTAATGGATATGTTGGAGAGACATCCGTTGTGTGCACCCACCATTAGATTAAATGGAGTCGCGAAAAAAAATGGAGTCCGAAAAAAGAGAACCGTTGGAGTATACTAGGTCCATGATACTGTAACTAGGAAACTTTTCTTTCAAAGGTTATTTTTTTCCGTGTGGAGAGTGTTGGGAGAAATCTCATCCAATATATTCATTCGATAATTATTGTCAAAAGTTGATGGAAAACCGGAACTAATGGAAACATATCTGAAGAATCCGAACCTATAGGATTCGAAAGTTTAATTATGAAAAATAATAAATTGTTTAATAATTGTTTCCTACAATTCGATAATAAATAAAGACAATTCAGTATTAGATTCGGTGCCGTTACCTGATGCAATGTGCGAGAAAATAAACTAGTGATGCTAAAGCAGCATGTACTTTCTCGCCCGAATTTTCACGCAAAATTACGCGAAAAGTACTCGAATTTTCGAAAAATTGTACATACTTTATTATAAAACGAGTTTTAGGAACAGATTTCAGTAATGGAAAAACTTATCTTTAATATTTTAGCTGTAGGAAGGCTCTGAAAAACTTTTGTAATTTCCGAAAACTAAGGCTTTTCAACGAACATAAGACCTCCACCATTCTCTTAAATGTCCTTAACACTATTTAACAACAAAATTTAATCAAAAAAGTTGGAGCTATTTTTCTTAAACTTTTGAAAATGTCCGAGGGACTTCATGTAAAGTACCCCATAAAATTAAAATTTCTGTTTCAAATTCCAGGGGGCGCGACATCAGGCAGATCGACGGGAAATCTCAATTTTGGAGAAACTCGGCTGAAGGGTTTAGTAGCTACTGTTGTTCACTGGCGGACAGTTGGACCTTTTGCCGGCATTCGATTTTTCGATATCAAGTCCCCCCAAAACATGGATTCTTGCTACACTACGCGTTAGATGAGGTTTTTCTAAATTTAGCCACTAAATTTATGCACTTTTTCGTTACCAGTGCCCTGTAATAGGAAAACTCCATAAGGACAAAGGGGTCATCCATAAATTACGTCACACTGATGAGGTGGAGGGGGTTTGAGGCAGCGCTACACTGCGTTACATGGGGGTAGGGGCCATAGTTACGTGATGAAGATATTTATTTTTAAAATCTTTCAACATTTGCTGAAATAATTCCTTTTATTTTCTTATAATATAACATTACCATATTTACAAATTAAATTAAAAAATATAATAAAATAAAGAAGTTGTTTTATACATTGTTACAATAATTGAAAATATTTTTCATCAGTGATATATTGATTGATTATTTTGGATTACGAAGAAAACATTCAAAACATATCCATAGTGTATTCTAAAATCCAATTTGTGAGACCAGTTGACTCGGAGCCTATATGTCATCCACGACGGCATGCGCACGGCTTGTCAAATATGTTCTCGCCTACCCGTTCTTATTTCAATTAAAAATTGTCCCCAAACTTATTGGTGTGTGTTATGCGCAGTCCCCACCACCAACTAATTCCCATATTAAATACAATAAATGTTAATGTATAACACAAATACAATTAATACAACTAGTTTCTGCTATATAATTGAATTTTACTTATTGAAATTGGGGAGCGGGGAGTTGTCGCAAGCGTTAAGTAATTATTAGATGGAGGTTCGAGCGCACGTTCACAATGCAGACTTAAACATTAACGTAAGTAATAGAATGAAGTATTCACATGTTGAACATAAACGTAAACAAAATAAGAGATTCTATTGGCTCTGAGACATTCTAGTTTACTATTGGTTGGATGTGAGAGTTGATTTCGAAGTATCGACTCTATCCATGGCGTTAGTTCGTCTATCGACGTCGGTCTTATTTAGATTCTCGATTTTGAGTTAACGTACTGTGATTGGTTCATTTCTTATGTATACTTAAGCATAATCACAGAAGCTTGCAAGCTTTTAAGTGAACGTCTTACGTGCTATGCTTATGCGAACGCATTGTGAATGAGTCCGCTTATGGACGTAGTCGTGACCTTTATGTTTGCATTGTGAATGGTTCTTTACAGAGGGGAGAGGGGGTATTCAAAATACTCGAAATTTGTGGCCGTAGAAAGAGAGGGCACTGACCGTTGACCTCGCAGGCGAGCGGGCCGCCCGAGTCACCCCCGCAGGCGTCGACGCCGCCGTCCATGAGCCCCGCGCACAGCATGCTGTCCAGGATGGACTGGCTGCGGCCGCCGTACACGCTGTCGTTGCGGCACGTCTCGGCGTCCAGCAGCGGCACCGCCGCCGCCTGCAGCACCTCCGACAGGCTGTCCGGGTCGTCTGCTGCCGGCAGCGCGCGCGCACACCTCAGGTTAGGTTGGGGCGCTCACCACACGCGTGCACGTTAGGCTGTGGCGCTCGCCACACACACACACCTGCACGTTAGGCTATGGCGCTCGCCTCACACATACACGTTAGGTTAGGGTGCTAGCCACACAACAATTGGTGGGGCTACGGCGCTCGCCAACACACACACATACACGTTAGGCTATGGCGCTTGCCTCACACAGTTAGATTAGGGCGCTCACTACACACGCATACATACACGTTAGGTTAGGGCGCTCGCCACACACACATCCACGGTAGGCTATGGCGCTCATCAAACACACATCCACGTTAAGCTATGGCGCTCGCCTCACATATGCACGTTAGGTTAGGGTGCTAGCCACACACATGTTAGGATATGACCTTCGCCTTATACACACACACGTACACGTTAGTTTAGGGCACTCGCCACACACACACACACACGTTAGGCTATGGCGCTCATCAAACACACATGTACGTTAGGCTAAGGCGCTCGCCACACATACACACACATATACTAGGGCAACTTGATTGATTAGAGAGGGCGCCCAACCACCCGTAAGTGTAGTGTATGTTTTCATCGCGGGAGATTGCGATGTTGTTCTCTCGCTAGTGAGCAAGATCCGGTGGCCAATGGAGGCAATGTTGTGAATGTAATGTGGGGAAATGTTGTGAATGTAAGTGTTCGTATGTAAGTAAGGGTAAGGATAGGGCAAGAAAGGATTGCGCCAGGTCCGTGGCGCGTTGTTTAGGGTACTGTTCTGGCGTTCACTTGGCGCTGATCGGAGAAACCGCGGAAAACTACTGATCGGAGCAGCCGGCCTCCAGAATTCTTCACCAGACAGCGGCTGAATTCGACATAACTAACTAAAGTCGAAAATCCTGCCTCGGCACCTTCGGGGCTCGAAGCCTAGGACCTCCCGGTCAGAGGCTCTGCAGATACATCACTATGCCTTGGGCCACCTATGACGATACTAGAACCGCTTTCACCAACGCGGATCTAATGAGAGGTTAGTCCTTATATGTGAGTGCAACGCTTTAATATTCAATCATAGTAGGTAGCAAAACTGAAGTCCCTTTCGTGAACATTCACAAACATACAAAAGAGCAAATCATAATTTTCCTAAACGTGTTCGTTAAAATTAAGTTCCGTTTTATCCGAAACATGATTCTAATTATTTCTAATTTTGATGTGTCTTTAAAAAGAGTGAAATAAAAAAATTCAACAGACCTTTATTTCTAAAATTTATGGTTTATGTAAATAACTTACAGACTCGTAACACACATGACATAAAAGCGATGTTTTACTACTTTTACCTGAATTATCGCAAGAACGATTAAGGAAAAATAATTGCTCATTCATTAGGAAATGAAAAATGTCTGTTCCCAAAGAAACAACTGACGAAATCCAAAGGGATATTATTTGTGGTCAAAGTTGCCAGTATTTACCGAATCTAATAAAACCTGCACGTTTACTTACGAAGTTTCGGAGTTGTGGAGCTTTCTCGCGTATTCGTATTCCAAGCATCACACTAGCTAATCACGCGCTAACTGTTCATTATGGAGCTGAGAGGACCCTTTAATTTCAACGGAAGTTTAACGAGCTTTAAGTTTTGGTGAAACGGTAACTTTATTAAATGTGCAGTGGGCAGTTTTGGCCTGTTCATTGGTGAAATCGTCCCTTCGCATGTGCTTATGGCCGCCGCTGATTTTGGAGCCTCGAGTGAATTTTGAATTCGTTCATAAATTTGTAAAAAACTAATATTTTTTTTAATTTCAAAGGTTAGTTTATGCTAATTTATTTTATATTTTCAACATTTCAATATTATTAGGGCCAATAATGAAGTTCATGCCAAAAATGGAGTTAATTTCCTACTGTAAATGTCATCGGCTGTGAGAACTCCGTTGATAGATATAGAGGCAAAAGGACAGGAATGCAGAAGGGTAGATATGCGGACAGGGGATGACGCACTTATAAGAAGATGGGTAGATAGGCAGAGGAAACGGACAAATTGGAAGATGGGCAAAATATTGCCCGATTTATAGTTACTTGTTAGAGATCGTCAGCTGGACGCCACCATCCAATCAGAAGATACGATAAGACTTTAATTTGCCGTATCGTAGCTCCCGATTGAATAACCGCGTCACAGCTGATCTGTCGCAAGTCACTATATTTAAATCGGACAATAGACAGGCGCACGGTTAAGCAGACGGATAGATATGCAGAGGGGTAGATAGGCAGCGGGACGTACAGCCAGTGTAGAGAAAGGAAGGCGGGCGCGCAGATAAGCAGACAGATAGGCAAAGGGAGACATAGGCAGAGGAGCAGATAGAAAGACGGATAGACAGACCGAGGAACAAATGGGCCCTTAGGCAAGTAGACGGAGGGATAGGTAGTCGGACAGATAGACTGAGGAACAGATACACGAATATGTAAGTGGACGACAGCAAGCTGGTCGGGAATTTACACCGACTAACGAGCTCAATGTAGTTTGTGTTTTTTGGGTGTCCGACCGTGTTTCGGGACGCGTCAACTGCTAAGCTCGTTGTCCCGTAAATGTAGTGATTATTTACTTGACTGTCCGGGTGACGCCAGAGCATTACGCCCTGAGGAAGGTCGCAGAATGGCGACCGAAACGTCGGCACCTTCTCCATGGACGCGGCGTCACCCGGACAGCCAAGTAAATACTGACTCCGGCCGCGGAAGCCTACGCTCTCAAATGTAGGGATGTTTTGTCTCGGGAGGTGAGTGTGATCTTCCCCCGGCGGGTGGTGAGATCCAGTGCTGACCTACACCGCGGCTTACGGCTTTCTTGAAGTAGGAATCTCCCACCAGCGGGGCTTTGTCCCAGCTGAGACTAGCTCTAAGCTCGCGATGTGTGTTGTAGCTATGTAGTTGGTCTAGCGCGCGGTCAAAACAACGGATAAGCCGACTGCTCTCTTTGTTCGAATAATATTTCTGTCTACTGGACAGCTAGCGGCTGTAGAGTTGCAGATGTTTATTAAGAAAATATTTCATCTTACAGCGCAAAGTAACCGAAAAGGAGAGTGCCATGTGGCGCCATTATTTGTTTAGTTATGCGTCTTGTATGCGGTTTTGTGTCGTCTACTGTTGTGTTGTTGCATTGTTTGCATTATTTTTTATTACTACTACTACTACTACTACTACTACTACTACTACTACTACTACTACTACTACTACTACTGCTGCTGCTGCTGTTACGATCTGATGCAAGAACGACCACGTGACTGCCACCGGAGTAAGAGTCAACATCTCTGTACCCCACCCGCAGCTGTCAAGTAGGCAGAAATATTATTCGGATAATAGGCAAAGAACAGATCGGCGGACACAATCAGCAGACATATAGGCAGAGGGCCACATAGGCAGACGGGTGGATTGGCCAGATAGCCAGGTAGACATGAACAGACGGATAGGTTGTCGGAGGAACAGGTAGATGGTCAGATGGACTACATTAATATGTAGGTAGACAAGTAAATTGGTCGGGCAGTTACACAGACTCCCGCGCTTAATGTAGTTTTTGTATGTTTTTCGTGTTTCCGGATGCGTGAACTGCTAAATCAACAGCTGCCAAGTAGGCAGAAATATTATTCGAATAATAGGCAGAGGACAGGTAGGCGGACGCACAAATAAGCAGACAGATAGGCAGAGGGACACATAGGCAGACGGGAAGATAGGCCGAGGAAAATTGATCAAATAGGCAGGTAGACGGGGACAGATGGATAGGTAGTGGGAGGGACTGGTAGATGGTCAGATAGACTGAGGGACAGATACTAGATTAACATGTCGGTAGACAAGTCGGGGATGTTTCACAGACCCGCGCTCAATGTAGTTTATGTTTGTTTTTCGTGTTTCCGGTTGCGTGAACTTTCTAAATGAACAGCTGTCAAGTAGGCAGAAATATCATGCAAATAATAGGCAGAGGACAGGTAGGCGGACATACAAATAAGCAGTCAGATTGGCAGAGGGACACATAGGCAGACGGGAAGATAGGTCGAGGAAAATTGGTCAGTTAGACAGGAAACAACGGATAGGTAGTCGGAGGGACAGGTACTAGATTAACATGTAGGTAGACAAGTCGAGGATGTTTCACAGACTCCCGCGCTCAATGTAGTTTGTATGTATGTGTTTCGGGATGCATGAACAACTGCTGTCAAGTGGGCAGAAATACCCCTTACCCCTCTGCGCGCCCCAGCCGGTGACGGTGCACCAGGCGCCCGGCGCGGGCGCCGGCGCGCGGCCCGACTTGGCGGCCAGCGCCGCGTCCTCGGGCAGGCAGATGGAGCGCACGTGCGACGAGAAGGCGAACGCCGCCTGGTTGGAGGCGGCGGCTGCCGGTGGCGGCGCCACCTGCACCGGGAACAGCCCCACGCCCAGCCCCAGGCCCAGCCCCGGGAGGCTGCCGGCCCCCGCGCCGCCGCCGCCGCCGGGCGCCAGCGGACCGCCCACCTTCAGCAGCCCGATGTCGTTGCTGTACGGCCCCGCTGCGGAACACACGGAGCGCGCGTTAGTCTCCGTATTAACGTCTGTGGGCCGATGGGGAGCTAATAACCAATGCGTTATCGGCCGTTTGCCGTTAGATACTTCTCGTATTAATACCATATAAACAACCTTTATTTTTTAAGGATACGTTATTAACTTTCGTCTCGATATACTCTGCTTGACTTACCTGGATGGAGGGGATCTTGGTGACGAGGGATACATGAAAACAGTTGAATAATGCTACACGTTTGTCTTGTGAAGTGAAACATGAAAATAAAGTGAGTTATCATCTAGTTAATATGTAAATAAGTAAATCTACATCAATAAAATTAGGTAAAAAATTAAATTTTGTATGTATTACGGGGATTAACTGGTGCTAATGATCTCTAGCGACGAGAAGCCCTCGGACAAACGCCCTCGAGCTTTTCGTCGCCGATCGATCAGAAGTAGAATGCCTTTAAATAACTAGTTCGTACAAAACGAGTTCTTATACGCGATCTTTTGATACAACTATCTTTTTTGGGGCACAACCATTAAATTTGAACTCCGGAAACAGAATTGTTGAGAAACAAAATTTTCGTAATGTTTTCCTGGGTCAGATACCTAGTGACTGGACTAACAGTAAAACGGGCGGGGAGGAGATTTTAGAGCTGAAGCAAACGTGGGGAGGTTGTACATCTCCCCCATACGTGAGCTGGAGTTTGAATTGAATTGCATTTGCCTTATTTTACGTGGCGAGACTCGGGCCATGAGGCCCGCTCTGCCGTCTGACCACGTAAATTTCGCTACGCTCCTTCCACCAATTAGCAGAGAACGGAGGTATTTCTTGGGCGAGAAACAGGCGATTTTGAATTTAGCTCAGAGGCGTCATTTAGGCTTGAGGATCTTTTACATGCAAGCAAATCTACGAACATGGGACAGACGGCTTTACTGCGCCGTCCTTGCGGCAAAGCAAGTGGATCAAGCGGCGCGACTCACCCCTGCGGAACTGCGGGTGCGTGAGGATGCGCTCCACGGCGAAGGCGCGCTCGTGCGCGTCGCGCGTGCGCAGGCGGTGCTCGCCCAGCACCACGCGCAGCCGCTCCGCCTCCGCCCCCTGCGCACAGCACGCGCAGCGCTCGCTCAGCACGTCCGGCTCGCGCCATCGCGCAGCCCCCATTACATTGGTCATGCGGATTGATGCGGATTTCGGTACATGGTATACTCGTAGCTGAGAGGAAGACGCCGCGTAAGATATCATTTTGCCCTGAGGAAGGTCGCAACGTGGCGGTGGTGTGGCGAGGTGGGGAGTCGAGTGCAATATAGGGCCCGCCGGCCAGCGGCATGCCGACGGGGTCATCGCACATCAACCCTCCTGCGCTAGCTGACTCCCGCGTTCCAAGAACACGACTGTCATCCGAGAGGCCCCTGAATGTGTGGTAAGCATACCGGCCAACCCCTTCCTCTTCGCCCGCCGCACATCTTGCTGCGGTCGGCAGAGGCAATTGCTATCACGTTACAGTATATAATTTATTCTCTAAGATTAATGCGTGACGTTAGGCGTTTTGTGCGTGATCTGTTGCTGTTCCGCGGTACGGCCGCGTCGAGGCTTGTGTTGCGACGTTATAGACCATCCTTCGTGTTTCCTGAGAAGCCCTGAGGAAGACCACGACAGGATGGTCCAAAACGTGGCAACACAGCCTTTCGACCGCCGGCGTCACCCGGACAGCCCAGATCACCCACACGTTGACATAGTGCTCGCGAGCGGCCGTCTCTCGATCAGCTATGTATATGCTGGCTTCTGGCCGGGAATCCTACAGTTACATTTCCGCTACATTACTTCCTTCCTTCTCTTCCTTCTTTCCGTCTTTGTCCACATTCCTTTCCCTTCCGATTGTGATAACGTATTCAGAGGTATTAATATTTATTTTTTCTCGTACTAAATATTCGTCAATTCTGAGTTTGTTTTCTGAGTGGAGGCGGAAATTAGCTGGTGACTAGAACACCCAAGTGAGGGGCCTAATGATTTACGGATCTCGATCTGGTCATTGCCACCATGCCATTGTTACGTAAAGGAAATGTGATAGTCTTGCGTTTCCTGCATTGTGCAGTGACAGACCTTTATTATTAAAAACAAGAAACTTGATTGTAACTTGTTTATTTTAATACTTATCGAAACAATCGCCGCCATTGAAATTCCGCGAAAGAAGTGAATTATAATATTTTACTTGCTTAAAAATATCCATAAAATGTATAACTAGTGTTAACACTTTTGTCACTCTAGAGACTTCAAAGAGAATCCGTGTACATGGCAAACACCAGCGGCATATGAGCTCCCTAGCAATCACAGGCACATAGTCACATGCGTAACTTCTCGTACGAGATTTCCCCACACCGCGCCTCATTTGCAAAATGTAATTATCTTCGACCACCCTGCGTGCCTTTAGAAGGGTTAGTTGAGAGTTAACTCTAAGGAAGGGACCGGTTCGACAGGTCGGGAAACCAAATGCAACGGACACATTAGGACACTGGCATTGCAAATTGATGAAGTCGTTTACATTTGAGCTGCAATCGAAACGCACTGACAAGATGAGTACATGTAGTAGCTGTCAAAGCAGTCCCTTCACATAGTGATGATTCTATAACATTTGTTGCTTGGCCCTGTGTGTGTAAAATCGCGCCCCACCACCTGCAGGCAGTGCGCCGCGGAGACGACGAGGGCGCGCCCACGGACGGCGCCGCCGCAAGTCGGTGCCGGTTAGGCCGGTCGCCCCAGCGCCCCGGACGCCGGCAGGCCGCCGGGCGCCAACCCGCGCCGTGGCGGCGCCGCAGCGCTTCGCCTCCCCGCCGCGCCCTCGCCCTCGCCGCCGCCGCCGCCGCCGCCCGCCGCCCTCGCCCTCCGCGCGGCCCTCGTCGTCGTCCCGCAGCTGGATCTCCACCTGCGCGCGCGCGCCGCGACGCTTCATTCACCGAACGCACTCCATCCACCACACCCTCCTCACGCGCGGCCACTCACGAGCTACGTCATTAGTCTCGTGGTGTAACGCCATGCGTGGGAATATTAGTCCCGTAAGTGTAGTGCGTGTTCATTAATCTCGATATGTAGTGCGTCTTAGTGAGTAGTCCCGTAAGTGTAGGCGTGTTGCGTTCCCCCGTTGGGAAGGGGATATTCCGTGCCAACGTTCACGTCGCGCTTGCAGAATTCCCTTGCCTTTCATCATGTGGAATGCTCTTACCAAGTCATTATTACGTATAGATTATAGTGTGTTGTGGAAGCTCGATTTTAATTTTTCAATGTCGTCTAACATTACACGTAAGCCAAAATAAGAAATTTCTATTGCTGTGAGGAACGTTCTAGTTTACTTATTGGATTAGAAGTGAGAATTCGATTTCGCAGATATCGACCTCTATCCGATGGCCGGTGGCGTTCGATTTAAACTAGTGCCAGGAGACTAATAAGACGGTGTGCCGAGTTCTCTGTGACTTAGTGTATCAGCATTCCGTCAATACACGATATCGCGCGGCCATTTGTTTGATCCGACGGCCATCTATGGGTGAATTGCATTAGTTTCATCTATTGACTTCGATCCATTTTCAATACTTCGATTTTGCGTTAACGCACTGTGATTGGTTCATTTTCTTATGTCTTACGAGAGCATAAGTAACAGAAACTTGCAAGCTTTTAGTTAACGTCTTACGTGTTATGCTTACGCGAACACATTGTGAATGAATCAACTTATGGCCTCAGCCGTAACTATCTATGTTGTTAACTTCATTGCTAGTGTTTGTACGATATAAAAATTGGTTCACGGGATTGGTCAGCCTTATATTTGCTGATTAAAAAAATAATGTTATTGTCTTCATTGCTCACCGGCTCTTGCCAT